CCACACACCTCATTTTGGTGTTGCTGTGAACATTCGCACAAGTCTCCTAGATCCTTGCTGGATGGTGAAGTCTGTGAGAACAGGCACAGGCTTTTCTTGCTATCTTCCTGTTAGTACAGAGCTTTCTCTAAGCCACTCTCAAGTAATTGATGACTAATTGAATAGGATGAGGAGCAAGGGGAGTAGAGGCCCCCAAATGAGTTGGAAGCTGTGTGCTGTGGATAATTCCTTCTACTTGGGCCATCAGAGAAGGATGAACACAGGACAGATGTGGCTATTAAATGGAGAGCACCATGGTGGATGTGTGGGACTGGAGAAAGAGGAAGAGGGGCCAACCCAGTTTAGAGGTAGAGAGTGACCTTGGAGTACAGTATGTTCACCCGTATACGGAGAGCAGATGAGTTTGAGTGAAATGCAAGTTGGAAAGGTCAAATGGAGAGAGGTTGAATATGACCTTTAATGCCAAGGCAGTGACTGGGGACTTCTTCCTGAGGGCAATGGGGGCCACCACTGTTTTGTAAATAGAGAAGAGGTCAGATCAGAGCATTTCTTTAGCAAGAAAAATTTATTCCTGAAATACATGACAGCAGTATGAGCGGTGGAAGAACACACAGGGCTTGGGAGCGTGGACTCTGGATCCAGAATGCTTGCAGTGTTACTTACTGTGAGTGTGGTATGGTTCAGTTTTCTTGTCTGCAGAATGGGGACACTTTTAGTACCTGCCTTTGAGTTACTGTGCATATTAAGCCAATAGATTAAAAGATGGCAAACATTATATACAGTGCTTTGAACAGCACTTTACAAATGCCTACGCTGCTGGTAATTATTAGCTGCCATTGTTATTATATCAAATGAGCAAAGGGAAGATAGAGCCTGACTCTCTCTCTCTCTCTTGTTTTCTTTTCTTCTCCACAATTCTCCCTGCCTTGGGGGAAACCTCTGCTTTATTCTTTTACTATCTGTCTGATATTTCCTAGGAGTACCTTGTTGTGCTTATTCTCAGGCCGTGAACTTTGTTTTCTAGATTTCATCTAAGAGCAGCTGCTGAGCAGAAGTTGCTGACATATTCCCATTCTGTCTCATGACATCCTGAGGTGTTAATCTGTCTTCTTAAACCTGTTTCTTTCTCTTTAAAAGGTAGGATACTGATGGCGCCAACTTTTAGGGTTGTTTTGAGGGTTAAATAAGATCAAGTATGTAAAGAGCCTAATGCAGTGTCTGCAACCAAGTGCAAACAACAAAATGTTAGCTGTTGTCTTCCATCACTCTTCAGAACTAATGGTGAAGGCTATCTTTTGCATCTAGGATGTCATCTTCCCTCTCACTGCCATCTTCACTGTTGAATTACCACATATCCTCTAACCAGAGAGGATCTTCTGCGTGAAGTTTGGTTTCTTCTCTCTCTAAGCAGTTTCTTCCTCCTTTGGCATTGATTTTCTCTACCGCCGTGTTAGTTTGGTTGGACTGCCATAAATACCATAGACTGGGTAGCTTAAGCGACAGAAATTTATTTCTCAGAGTCCAAGAGCAAGGCAAGATGTCTAAGATTGGCTGGAAATGATGGCTCATTCCTGTAATCCCAGCACTTTGGTAGGCCGAGGTGTGTGGATCACGAAGTCAGTGGATCACGAGCTCAGCAGTTCGAGACCAGTCTGGCCAACACAGTGAAACCCCATCTCTACAAAAATTAGCCAGGTTTGGTGGTGCACATCTGTAATCCCTGTTACTTGGAGGCCAAGGCAGGAGAATCTTGTAAACCTGGGAGGCAGAGGTCGCAGTGAGCCGAGATCACACCATTGTACTCCAGCCTGGGTGACAGTGCGAGAGTTCACACACACACAAAAAAGATGTCCAAGATTATGGTGCTGGTGGGTTCTGCTGAGGCCTCACCTTGGCTTACAGGTAACTGCTTTTCTGCTGTGTCTTCTCATGGCCCTTTCTCTGTGCACCTGCATCCCTGGTGTTTCTTCCTCTTCTTGAAAGAACACAGTCCTATTGAATTAGGGACCTGCCTTAGTCCGTTTTCACACCGTTCATAAAGACATACCCAAGAGTGGGTAATTTATAAAGAAGAGGTTTAATGGACTGATAGTTTCACATGGCTGGGCAGAGGGGTGTCTCACAATCATGGTAGAAGGTGAAAGGCACGTCTTACATGGTGGCAGGCAAGCGACAATGAGAGCCAAATGAAAGGGGAAACCCCTTATCAAACCATCAGCTCTCATGAGACTTATTCACTACCATGAGGACAGTATGGGGAAAACTGCCCCATGATTCACTTATCTCCCACCAGGTCCCTCTCACAACATGTGGGAACTATAGGAAATCAAGATGAGATTTGGGTGGGGACACAGCCAGACCATATCAGGATCCCACCATGATCTCATTTAACTTTAGATACCTTTTTTTTTTTTTTTTTTTTTGAGACAGAATTTCACTCTTGTTACCCAGGCTGAAGTGCAACGGCACAATCTTGGCTCACCGCAACCTCTGCCTCCTGGGTTCAAGCAATTCTCCTGCCTCAGCCTTCCGAGTAGCTGGAACTACAGGTGCGCGCCACCATGCCCAGCTAATTTTGTATTTTTAGTAGAGACGGTTTCACCATGTTGACCAGGATAGTCTCGATCTCTTGACCTCGCGATCCACCCGCCTTGGCCTCCCAAAGTGCTGGGATTACAGGTGTGAGCCACTGCGCCCAGCCCTTTAGATACCTTTTTTAAAGACTCTCATCTCTAAATACAGTCATATTGGGGGCTAGAGCTTCGACACATAAATTTTGGGAGGTACACGGGTCCGTCTATAAGAACCACTCATTTGATACTCCCCATATCCATACTCCTCAAATTGGCAATGATTTGTGTGCTTATCAAATAGAACTAAAATGGTTGTGCTAGATTAATTAGTTATTTGGCAAGTATAGCTCCGTCCCAGCTCCATGGCTGGAGTCTGTTTCACTGCTTCTTGGTTTTAGTTTGGGCTACGTGACTTGCTTTGGCCAGTGGCCATTTAGCAGATGTAGGCAGAGTCTTAACATTTGCTCCTGTGGTTGGAGTTGCCCTACTCAGCTGTTGCTGTTCTCTTTATGGGTAGAACAAGACTCAGTAGTCACCAGTGGAAGGAGGATCAGAGACACATGGAGTGGACTTGGGCCCAAACTGCATCTTGAAACCAGGCCCAGCTGAATTCCAGCGATGTGTGTGTAAGAGGCTAGTGCTTGTGGTTGGATGTCCACCAGCTTTGGAGTGCTTTGTTACACAATATTATTAAAATAACAACTGACTAACATGACCCTGAGTATTTACTAAATCTTACCATGTTCTAGAACAATGCTGAACAGTACGTATGCATTATTTAATCACTTAACTGTTTCAAGACCCCTGTGATATAAACATATTTCTATCATTTAATAAGATGAGGAAATTGAGACTGAAAGAGGTGAAATGCCATGCCAAGAGTCACATGGCTAGGAAGTAGCAGAGTCAGTATCTGAACCCAGGCCAGTTTGATGCTTGTATTAAATATCCCTACAACTGTGAGCTTCAGGTGAACAAAAGAGCAGTGTTTTTCAGAGCCGGGACTGGAATTTCCTGGTTTCTGACTTCCGCTTTAATGATCTCTCTACAAAACAGAAAGCCACTATTTGTAGCCGCTTCCAAAACTGCCTTGGATTTGGTAGCTCCTGTTTAATTGTCTAGATCAAGCTCTATAGAATTGCTTTTTTTTTTTTTTTGAGATTCTGCAGCAGAATGCATCCTGCTAGTATTGTGCATGTTGCAAGCAGCTTGCGAAGGTTATTTGATCTGTAGGATGAATTTCCCAAATCTTGCACCACCCACAATTTTCGAGAATTCTCCCACACTTGTCTTCTATCCCTTGTCTACCCAGCAGACAATACAGCCCTTCATTATCTTTGGCTCTCTCACCCCCCTTCTTCTTCTTGGTCTTTTTCTACCTGTTTGCTCGTTCTTAGTGTGGGGGCATATGGTTGAATCAATTAATAGAGGATTTGTAGAATCACAAGTGCAGTTATTAAAGAACAGTGTAATTAACTTCTTCAGACTAATTGAAAATTTTCATTTAGAAGGAGCAGCCAAGTGCCTCCTTGCTCAAATGGCTTTCTCACATAAAACAGTCCTCATGAAAAGATTCTTTAACGTGTGTCCATAAACCGGAGACCTCTGAGCTGCTGTAAAACTTTGGGAAAAGAATTAAGTCATTTAACTCGCTTTCTCTCTTCTTCTCCTCCCTCTCTTAAAGTATCCCTGGAGTCATACAACTTTCACTTTATTGTGCTGCTTCTCAATTCATAAGATAAAGTCAGGAGAAATGGGTCAGGGAAAAGAGGATCTGGCACAATGTGCCTTTTGATTGGTAAAGAAAGGAGAGAAATAGTGTGGCTCTTGTCTGTTTGGCATCTAATGCTGCTGCTTCTGGTGCTAGCAGAATATTTCCATTCAGGGAGAATTGAGGAAATCTCCCTCAATTTCTATTTGAGGGGCCACACCTCCAGTTTTCTCTGTCTGCGCCCTCTTGGATGGTGCCTTCCGGACTTCACATCCTCAGGCCCCAGGACTGCTCACATGACCCAACTCTGTCCACTCAAATGACTACACTTCCTGGTTGCAGGAAGTGATTGGTTCAGGGATTCGCATGTGACTCTCCAAGTGGACCAATGGAGTGCAAGCTGAGATGGCTGCTGAAATTATAGAGCAGAGAAACTCAGTTTCTATGGGGATTGCTGAGCTGCTAGGATGTCTGCCTCCACTTGTTGGTTTAGGGAAGGGAAAGCATAGCGGAGAATAAACCCAACACCTAGCCATGGGGCAGATGTCACAGGAGCCCTTTGAGGGCTTGGGTACTTCTCTGAGTTAGCCTTAATAAAAGAAAAACTTCAGCCAAATTAAATTTAAAGGAGTATAATTGAGCAATGAATGATTCACGAATCGGGCAGCCCCTGAGAATCACAGCAGATTCACACACACTCCAGTGCAGCCACATGGTGGAAGATTTATGGACAAAAAAAGGGAAATGACATACAGAAATCAGACATAGAAAGCTACTGAATCCATACAGAATGACTGGATTGGTTACAGCTCTGTTTGCTTTATTTGAACACAATCTGAACACTCCACAGTTTATGAACGGTTGAAGTATGGCTGCTGGGATTGGCCAAGACTCAGCTATTGTTACAGGCACCTACTCCTAAGTTAGGTTTTTAACCTTGTCTACCTATTAAGCTAGATTGCAGTTCGTCCACAAGGACTGAAATGTAGAAGTACAGAGTCCTTCTCAGGCCATACTTAGTTCACTTTAACAGCCTCCGCTCCTGAACTTTCCAATTGTATGTGCCTATTAATGGTGTTTTTTCCCCTCTTACTCTGCTGGGTTGGGCTCTACCTTTTTCGACTCCAAGAGACTAATAGAGCAATTACACAGTAACGTGTTGACTTTGGGTCACAACAGAGGGAAGGCTATGCTAATCATCACAAGTAGAGACATGCTTGAGCCGCACCTCTTGGCTGGAGGATAACAGGATTTAGAAACCTAAAGGGCACAGAATATTACTAGGGGCTTTTGATTCAGCCTCTGAGATTCTGAGGGTGAGTTTCACTTTTTCTGAAGGGTACTTGAGGGCAGCAGCCAGGGACACAATGTCATGGACCTTGACTCCTACAGACTGACTCTGACCCCCAGCAGAATGGCTGCGATCCCAGGCTCTGCAGCCAGCAGACTTGGGTTTGAAGTCCAGTTACCTATTACCTCCAGGGAGTGTGATCTGGAGGCAAGAGAATGGCCCTTTCTGAGCCTCAGTATCTCCACATGTAAAGTGCAAATGATAACCATATCTGCTTTGTGATGGTGTGCTGAGGCTTCCCTGGGTCTATAGAGTGCTTAGCTCAGTGCTTGGCATTAGTTAGATGCTAAAAATGTTGGCTGTTATTGCTGTGGGCGGGGTTTGTACTAACTACCATTATTGAATGGAGAATTAGGACAGTCAGAAATGACTTGACTATAGGAGATCTCAGCCCACCAGTGTGGGGAGATTTTAGGAAGGAGAAAGACAGCTCTTTCAATATCCTAATTCCAACTCCTGATAGGGAAATCAGTTTGGATTTCGTGATGGCGATAGCATCCACTGATGCCACTATGCAACTGCACTGTGGGTTGAACTTCACCAGGCTTGAGCTGAGCCATCCCCTGGGAGCAGTGGGCACAGATGGTTTTAGGTTCCACCAGAAGGCACATGCTGCAACGAGAAGATTTCCATGACTGGCCACAGGGATGCTTAGGCCAGGGACACTTGGGTGATGGAAAAACTGTGTTTGACAGTTAAGAGCAGCAGGGTAGAAGTAGCAGCATAATTCCTGCAGGCAAACTCGAAATTCAGCGGAAGGATAAAGACCTTTGTTTAATCATTACAAGAATCCCAAGTGGTAGATATGATTATTTCCTATATTTTACGCTAAGAGGAAATATGCTTAAAGAGGTTGTGTCACTTTCCTGAGATGGCAGCCAGCATATGAGAGGAGAAACTGGCGTTTAAATGGAGGTGTCTCGATGGCCTAACCACCGAGCTACATGATCTCCAGGTTTAACTGGACCTTAGTAACCCCAAAAGAAACTGCTGGACCCTCAGCTGATGTGCTGTATCAGTCTTTTTTTCAGAGAGTCCTGATTTCCCTCTGGCAGGTTATGTGTAAGCTATTCCTGCAAGAAAACAAGAGAATGTTCTAGGTTGTTCTATGGTACCATCTCATTGGCTAACAACTAGGAATTGGTAAATATTTTGTCGGGTAAGTGACCGATGAACTCAAAATGTACCTTCAAATATGACAAGTGCTATGGCTCTCTGCACAGGTCCAGGAGGTAATTTAGCATAATGCTTAATCTCATGCGGTTTGGAGCCAGTCTGGCAGGATTCAAAGCCTGGCCTCTCCACTTACTTCTCGTATGACTTTGTCCCAAGTACTTCACCTCTCTTAGCCCCAGTTTTCCTAACTGTAGAGTGGAGAGCTGTATAGTTCCTTCTCATACTGCTAATAAAACATATCCAAGACTGAGTAATTTATAAAGGAAAGAGGTTTAATGGACTCACAGTTCCACATAGCTGGGGAGGCCTCACAATCATGGTGGAAGGCAAAGGAGAAGCAAAGGCACGTCTTACATGGTGGCAGGCAAGAGAGTGTGTGCAAGGGAACTGCCCTTTATAAAACCATCAGATTGCATGAGACTTATTCACTATCACAAAAACGGCATGGAAAACACCTGCCCTCATGATTCAGTGACCTCCCACCAGGTCCTTCCCATGACATGGGATTATGGGAGCTACAGTTCAAGATGAGATTTGGGTGGGGACACAGTTAACCCTTATCAAGATCCTAAAAACACTTATATCTATATAGGGTTGTTGTGGACATTAAATGAAACAGTGCAACAGTGCATCACAGTGCATCATATCTGGGATGTGACAAACACTCAGTGTTAATTCTTATGACAGTCTCAGCCCTTTCTCTTTGACCTCGTTGTGGATGGGTGTAGAGGACCCCGTTCCCTTTACATCATTACTTCCTGTCACTTGTTTCCATCATTCTTTTCCCATTCTCTTAGACATGCAGGGAAATGGCAGTTTAATTTTAAAATTAACATTTATCTTTGCCTCTCCACCTAGGTTGTGTGTCATTATAGTTGCTATTTGATGTTTATCTGAGAAAGCTCTTTGATTAATAATATGCTCTTGGATTGCTGTTGAGCGTCAATTGGGAGGCAGCTGGGAAAACAGCACTAAGTAGAGTAAACACAGCCATAACCTTTTCTTCTCTCTGCCTCTCATGCTGCCTGAAAGGGGCACATAGCTTTTCTTTTTCCATCACTAACTCATAAATGGAAGGAGCAGGTAATAAATATCATGGGGCTGATGGGTTTCCAGGGAGCCTGAGAAAGAGCAAAGGAGGCTGCCAGAAGGCCAGAGCAGCGTGTGAGTGAACCTTAAAACTGTGACCACCTCACCCTTGTACAGCCGCGGGAGTAGGATGACCCCCTGTTGACTGAGAAAGGTGAGGCTCTCAACCCCTATCGTGGCTGGGGATGCTTTCTATTTGGGGAGGCTGGCATGTCATGGTGAATGGAAAGTTTATAAAGTCAACATGTGCTGGCTTCCAGGGTGGCTGGCCACCTGTTGGGGCTGATGGAATTTAGAGTGTACTGAATCTTCCAAAGGGTCCGTGGGGCAGTGAAAAGAGCCCTGGGCAGGGATCAGGACAACTGGGCCCTTTTGTTCTGTATTTGCGCAGAACTGTGTGATCTGAAAGAAGTTAGATTTTCTTTCTGGATTTCAGTTTTTCTGTAAACTTGGATGGGATTATAAAACTTACATAAGTTATGTGAAAAGCACCCCTTGGTTTGCTTGGATTAATTCTCAGAAACAACCACCAGCACTTATCAAGTGCTCTCTGTCTGTCCCAGGCATGATTTAAAACTCTTTATATGTAATAACTCATTTGATTCTCACAACAAGTCATTTCCCACTGTGCAGACAAGGAAACCAAAGCACCATTGCCCAGCGTCAACTGTAGAGCTGGGAACTGACCCTGGACCATCTGGCTCCTGACACCGCATCCCAGTCATGCTACCAAATAATTCTTTGTGGTAGGGGCTGTCCTGGGCCTTGTAGGGTGTCTAGCAGTGTCCCTGGCCACTGCCCACTAGATGCCAGGAGAACCCTTGCCCCCCACAGACCTGAAGAGCACAAATATCCCCAGACACTGCCAATGCTTCCTGCAGGACCAAACCACCCCTAGGTTGAGAAGCACTGATCTAGATAGATCGACAAGGAGTTTCTCTTAAAGCTGGCTCCTTGGATCTCATTTTCTCAGCGGGCATTACAAACACGTGTGGAAGTGAAAGTGGAGGTCTTTTAGAACATGATCTGATGGGCTTGGAGAGCAGGGGAGCTTCCTCATGGACCCGCCGCAGTGGCTCGGAGCACAAGAGCTCTGTGTTTGGGAGCATTTGTGATAAGCAACAAAATGGGCCACCAAAGGTTGAGTTGTTTAGTGATGAGGCTCTCAAGTGCTTCCTGGTAAGAGCCCTTGGTCTCCTATTACAGCACATGTCACCAGAGGTAGCAGTGAGCCCCAGCACCTGGCATCACCGCTGACGGCTTCAGCTTGGGCAGAGAGCAGGTGTTGGGGCACAGATGGGAATGGCCTCCTGCAGGATCCCCAGGTTCACTGCCTTTCACAAACATTTTACATCTAAATAGCCCTGTAATTAGTCTCACAATCAATTTCCCCTGCTCTTTGCCTAGCTACTACTACTCAGCTAAAATGTCACCTCCTCAGGGAAGCCTTTCCTAATAACCCATCACTAACAGGAGGCTGAGATCCCATGTGTCATGGACACTGTTGGAACTCCCCTGTATCGCCCAGGGAAATGGTCTCCAACTTCTTTGACACCAGGGACTGGTTTCATGGAAGACAATTTTTCCATGGACTGTAGGTGGTGGGGGATGGTGTTCGGATGATGCAAGTGCATTATGTTTATTGTGCACTTTCTTTCTAATTCTATTCCATTGGAATATGCAATGAAATAATTATACAGCTCATCATAATGTAGAATCGGGAGCCCTGACCTTGTTTTCCTGCAACCCACATATGGGGGTGATGGGAGACAGTGAAAGATCATCAGGCATTAGATTCTCATAAGGAGCACACGACCTAGATCCCTTAAATACACAGTTCACAGTAGGGTTTGTGCTCTTGTGAGAATCTAATGCAGTCGCTGATCTGACAGGAGGACCTTAGGTAGTAAAGCGAGCAGTGGGGAGTGTCTGTAAATACAGATGAAGCTTCGTGCACACACCTGCAGCTTACCTGCTGCTGAGTGGCCTGGGTCGGGGTCCCTGTCCTAGGGTCCCACTAACTGCTCTGAGTGCCCCTCCCTGGCTCTGTGGGTTTCTGCTTCCCACCACCCGCACCTGCTCCTTTGCTCGGAGGATTTCCCTGGGCTGCTGGAGACACCTGGCCCACAACCTGAAAGTGCCAGAAGTACCTGGGTTTTGTCTCCCAGGGTGGGCCTTCACCAAGGGCTGCAGGTGTGGAATGATACATTTCTGGCTTGCTGGCCACAGATTGGGACAACCCTGAGACATAATTCGCATTGCAGAGTCCCCTGTGGGGTCAGCAGAAGCTGTTCTCCATGTGACTTTAAGGGGATCACCCCTTGCTTGGCCTCCTCCCCTTCCTTCTCCTGTTTCTGTGTTCCACCTTCTTCCTGATCTCTCCCCTGAGGGGCACTTTC